CGAACTCAGGCGGCCGCCCGCCTCAGCCTCCCGCCGGCCGGGGACGGAGGCGGCGCCCCGAGGTGTCCTCACGCCCCACTCTGAGCTGGCTGTGCTCGCAGGTGGACGTGCCTCCCGTGGAGTTAAAGGACCCGGGACCCCAGGCGACTGTGGAGAGCGGGGAGCGCCATCAGAATGAGAACCCCGAGGGAGAGGCCGGCGCCGCGGCGGCCAGGTGAGGGCACGGGGCCGCGGCTCTCCGGACTCCGGGGCCCGTTCCCGGCCACGCGGTGCCCTCCACGGTCTGCGTGCCCGGAACGGTCCTGGGAGCTGGCAGCGCTGTCGTCCTTTCGATGGCCACGGGGCTTAGTGTCAGGATTCCCTCTCTCCGAAGCCAGGTCTGCAGATGCTCAGGTCCCCGTTTGACACTGCGTAGCATCCTCGTGCTCAGACTCCTCTTCCCTTGTACCGCTTGGGGGTTTTAACATTCTGCATGTGTGTGTGAACGGGTGAACATGTGGGAGTCAGAACCTGTGGGACCGTGTGGTTCTGGGATAGAACTCTGGTCTTCGGGCTTAGCAGCAAAATGTCTGTTTCCTGAACCGTGTCATGGGTGGGCCTGCGTGTGTAGACTTTAATTTTTTTATGATTTACTTTATGTGTGTGAGTGTTTTACCTGAATGTGTGTGTGTACACTGTGTGCCAGCCTAGTGCTTATGCAGGTCAGGAGAGGCTATCAGGTCCTCTGGAACTGAAACTGTGGATGGTTGTAAACCACCATGTGAGTGCTGTCAATGAAGGTCCTCTGCAGGAGCAACAAGTGCTCTTAACCACTGAGCCAGCTCTCCAGCTCCCTCTCTCAAGGCAGAGTCTCATGTAGGCTGGCCTGGCCTGGAACTCAGTATATAGACCAGGTTGTCCTAGGACTCAAAGAGATCCACCTGCCTCTACCTCCCAAATGCTGGGATTAAAGGCGTGTGCCAACAAACACACACACACACACACACACACACACACACACACACACACACACACACAACTATTCTTTACTACTTTCTCCATACTACCCCAAGCCCTCGGGAAATTCATCAACTCTCTCTTTTAACTCTAAGCAAC